CATCTTCAGGCATAAAAAAATAACTAAATCACTTTGTGGAAAATGAGTGAAGGATGCTTAACGCTGCATCTGCAATTTTGCAGCTATTTGTGATGACTTGAAGGAAACGGGTGGTGGGGTAGTCTAGTGGTTAAAGCGTTCTCTCGTCACGCCGAAGACCGGGGTTCGATTCCCCACATGGGTACTATGTGTGAAGCAAATATCTTGTGTCCCCTGCCGTGATATAGCTGGTTAAAAGTGGCGTAAAACTGAACTCACTCACTTGAAGGAAACAAGCTTGCAATTTTACAGCTATGTGTGGCGACTTTGCTTTTATATCCTTAAACTATGGGAAATAATGGATGCCTACTTTAATTAGTTTGATGACACCATAAACCAGACCAGCTATGGAAGTTTATTTCGTCCACTATCCTCACCTTCCTGGGTCAAGAGCTATTTACATCGACACGGTCGTAGGTGTAGGTACCTGGGGCCAGGGTAGTACCACACAATAAAACCGCTAATTGTAGACTTGTACTGTATCACCCTCACCGACTCCGTATCAATGCTGATGCTATCTCTGCCTGGAGTATATCTGCCAATGAAGCTCTGATTTATGATGCCTTGTTCCTAGGGCTTGTTGTTTCATCCCCTCTCTGAGGCTGGTGTGGACAGACAGGCACAGACCTTGTTCCAGTTTGGTAAGGTTTTCTGTCTTTCCTGAGCCATGAATTCATTTAAGGTTTTTGGATTCTGCCAGACCAAATGTGTCTCTGGTTTTATGGTTGATTTAGAAATGGAGTTAGTACCATTGTCATTGTATTTGTGTAGCTTTTTGTGTTCTGCTGCAGCAAAGACCGCCTCCGTGGTGTAGTGGTTAGAGCGTCCGCCCGGAGAGCGGAAGGTCGCGGGTTCCATCCCCGACCGCGTCATACCAAAAGACGTTAAAATATGGTACTTGTTGGTCCCTGTCTGGCGCTCGGCATTAATGGGTACAACAAGGACTGGTCGGCTCGGAGTCAGTATAATGTGTCTGAGTGGGGTATTCATGCTTCACTGCGGCATGGTATCTCATTGGGCTAGCACTGTAAAACCAGCTTCAGTCTTGGCTAGTACAAGCAGCCGCACATACACATACACACGCATGCACGTCGTCATATGAGCGAAATATTCTCAAGCACGACGTTAAACCCCATTTCACCTCCTCTTCCTCAATATCAAACATTCTCTGGTTTCATCCCATGAGTGAGTGAGTTTAGTTTTACGCAACTTTAAGCAATATTTCAGCAATATCACGGCTCGGGGACACCAAAAAATGGGCTTCATACATTGTACCCATGTGAGGAAATGAACCCAGTCTTCTGTGTGACGAGCGAACACTTTAACCACTAGGCTACCCCACCACCCCTAAGCATACCACCATTTTAGAAATGGAAAGTATATTTCGATCACCTTTCACAGGCAGACTTATTTTCTCAAGGTTTTCAATTAATCATACCTTGATTTAAAAGAATGGATTTAGTTTATTTTGAGCCCCCATTTGTTTGTATTTTTGTTTATATATATTATTGGGAAGGCTTGATGTCTGAAGCAGTGTTATTTGCAGAAAAGGGTTGCATCCCTTGATGGCCGTGAGCTGCTGCTTTGTCAGTTCCATACATGTTCATGTGGGTTTAAGGAAAGAGTCCTTATCTTGCATTACTTTGTCTTTGCCCAGGGCGGTGGGGTAGCCTGGTGGGGTAGCCTAGTGGTTAAAGTGTTGGCTCGTCATGCCGAAGGCCCGGGTACAATGTGTGAAGCCCTTTTCTGGTGTCACCCGGTGTGATATTGCTGTAATATTGCCAAAAGTGGTGTAAAAGCACACTCACTCACTCGCTCACTCACTCATTGTCTTTGCCCACAATGACCAACCACCAACCTACTCACTCACTCATTCTCACTCACTCACTCACTCCCACCGACTCACTCACTTCTATGAAAAGTTGTACACCGGACATTATTATATATATTATTGTTATATTTTTATTATTATAGGATATATATATAGCGCACATATCCACGCAACTAGTGCTTGCTCAAGGTGCTGGTATTTTTTTCCCTCGATCAGTGGATTTCAATCTCAACGGCACATCATATTATCTATCTGAACTCCCTTGGGAGTATACAACTCTTCCTGCCTCTAGGCGCACCGGGTTTATTGTGGCTTTCTCATCCTAACGAGGTACCCATTCACAGCTAGGTGGACTGGGACACATAGTCACAGTACTTTGTCCAAGTTTACTGCACGTTGCTGTACCCGCAACTTGGTGTTTGCACGTATTCATGTGGCCACCCTCTGGTCATATACCAACGGATTCGTGGGTTCTTTTAAGTGCACAGGGTTGTGTACTGTACACTAGGGCTTGTGACAACACTGAAAGAGTCTGCACACAAAGTTGACTCCAAGGTTTTTACACCCGGTCACAGGTGGGCTCGATCCCGACACCTCATGCTCGCTGGATCACTAGACTGGCGCTTTAACCAGCTTGCCCACCGTGCCCGACAAATCAAATCAAATCTGTCTTCAAGCCACCTTCATATCAGTGGAATCTGGCTTCAGTTAGAAACAGTTGCCTCACCTACTCCTGACTTCAGGAACATCTCCACTATCGCCAATGTCCCTGTAATATTTGGGGCAGTGGTGGTAGAAACAAGCACTTATCACACGGACTCCCTGGTTCTGATACCTGACAATACATTGGTTGGGGCATTGCTCCCATTGCCGAAATTTACCCTTATCAGAGGGGTATGCAAAGGATGTGGTCTAAATTGTTTCTACTATTTGTTTTTCACTTCTACTTTGTGAAGTGTCAGGGACTCAGTGAGGCAGTCACTGACCTCGAGTGCTGGTGATTAGATGCCGTCCTTTGGGAGTCTGGGGTCAAAACATTGATGGAATTCAACCACCAAAATACTCAAATTTGTACTTCGAAAGTGTGATCCTAAATAAAAGGTGTTTACTATGCTTTGCTAAAAGATCAATAATCAGACTATAAAGTAAACTTTTTGCATGTCATCACACTGTATTGACGTCACAGCGCCATTCTTGTCTGCCCCCTTGTTACCCTTGGCAACTGACATCATGATGCCTGTCAGTTGTCATCGCCTCTTACAGTAAACTACTCCCTAGCATGCTGTTTCTTGATTTGCAGTTGTGTCACTCAGCTAACATCGCTGGTGGAAACATTACATTTATGATTTTCCACGGGCCTGAATTACTATAACGTTAAAGCTCTCAGATGCAAGTGTCCTCATACTTTAACTATAATAGTTCAGGGCAAAAGTGTATTTTATTAAACTATACAGGGTAGAGCGAAGAGTACTTCTTAAGCATATGACGACTTTCTAAAGGCAATGTCTGTTCACTATTAGTTTAAAATATGTGTAGAGTTCCCAAACTGAATATGATATTGGCCAAAACTGCCAGATCATTCTACTTTGTATGTATTGTAATATTTTAGTTTTGTCTGTCCAAGTTGAAATAGTCTGTAAATCTTTTTTGTCACTATTTTAATTTGTATCTGTGGAAGAGGCTGGATTTCACATCCTTTAGATCCCTGAAAACAAGTAAGGACAAAATCACCAACTAGTACCGAGCGCCATTTGGCAGATGGTCGCAGCACTAGATCTGAGCCATGGAACAAGCGTTCTCAGGGGTGGAAATAACTTAAAAATTGCTAGTGTACTCCGGTACAGTGGCATATGTAAAATCACTTGCCCTGATAATTTTTCCACTATACCGGCCGTTTTCTTGTTGATCTTTTAAATAAACAACATAATTAATATTGGAAAGTCAGCTGGACACCGGTACAGTGTGATATACAAATTTGCTTGCCCGACAGAAAAAACCACTGGACTCGGGCATCGGGAAATGGGTTATTTCCACCCCTGGTTCTATAATTCATTGCAGTCAAAGGAAATAAAATGTACTTTACATGGAATAATCAACTTTACATGAAATAATTTAACTTTGCTACATAAGTAAATAACTTCTCCAAATAAGTAAATAACTAAATAAATATTTTGAAGCAAAAAGATCACAGAAAATATCTTCAATTTTGGTATTTTTGACCCTGGAGATCTACTGATATAAACATTGATTTTCAGTGCATGGTTATGTCCCTTGTCATGCAAGGATTTGAGGATTTGTTAAGTTTGAATATCATATTTTGCCCTTATAATGACAGGATGTCACCAAAGTGTCCCAGCCCTGCGTGCCTCCAGACATTCCTGGGGCGGTGGGGTAGCCTAGTGGTTAAAGCATTGGCTTGTCACGCCGAAGACACCGGGTTCGAATCCCCACATGGGTACAATGTGTGAAGCCCATTTCTGGTGTCCCCTGCCGTGATATTGCTGGAATAAAAGCGGTGTAAAACCAAACTCAGTCAGTCAGTCCAGACATTCCTCTCATGTTATGCAGGCTTAGTGTTGGGAATTGGTTGAAATCTCACAATTGATGATTGCTTCATTACCAACGAACAATCATCGATAAAAATTGGTTAGCGTCACTTTTCAGATTTTCCTATCCAGGTTGTTATTGCAGATATGTATAACATGATGCAACTTGCTACTTTAAAGTGATGACTAATATATCATGAACATAAACCTTCTGGGGTCTTCAAGAAATATTCAGTCATGACTTTTCAGTTAGTGAAGTGAGTTTTCTAAGAATTAAACAAGTTTTCAGGCCCTGACAACTTCGAAGATATGTTCCATCGTCAAGTGTTTCAAAGACTAAAACAGCAGTTCCAAAATCGTTTGTGTTCGATTATGAGAAAATGTGATCGATTGCTTGGTCGTTTGGTCACTTCGACCAATCTTCGATTATTTCAATTAATCGGACCACCACTATGCAGGCTTGCATTGGAATTACTTAAGTACTGGTCAAAACAGTTTAAGGCCAAACCAATTAATCTGGAGTATATCTCCAGTGTAAAACCCAACTTTTGTTATGCTATATTGAATCAATGTGTGTTTTTCAGGGTCAATGATATGCCTGGGGCGCTCCAACTATTTTCGTTTCAACCACCCCGAGGAAGCCCAGAAGATGAAGGATGCCATGCCCAACTGCCGCATCTCCTGTGTCCCCCTACATTTCTTGCATGGTAGGTCATTGTTCTATATCATGTGAGTTATTGTTGCTTTCAGAGCTCCAGATAAGATTTAGCTCATGTGGGTACTGTACCCACTGTATTTTTTGGAGTGGGTATTATGAATGTTGAGTGGGTATTTCATTTTCCGCTAACCACTGCTTTCAAATATGTGCATATTTCAGTCACTTTACTCACCTAAGTATTACGTCATTGAGTAAGTTTACTAAGCAGGTATGTTCTGCCTTATGTCATACCTAATCAAAACCAACTTAAATATAAAGGAAATTATTTCATAAAAAATCACTCATCCTATACTGACAGTACAACACTTGTCCTATACTAACAGTACAACTTGATAGCAATCGATGTCTTTTTCATTACGAAAGCGATTTTTATAAATATATTCCGTACGCATTTGTTTTAAACTTTTTGCGTATCTAACATTTTAAATGCTTAATTGGTACGCAACAATTATTTTTCAATGCGTAATTCTATGCGTATTTTACCCGGATACGCAGCTTATCTGGGCCTCTGGCTTTTATTGCATAGCAGGTAATTAATACTTTATTGAATGGTTGGTCATGCATACTTTTATTGCATAGTAGGTCATGAGTACTTTTCTGGCATAGTAGGTGGATGTTTTACATCATGTGTGGGTTATTGTTGCTTTTATTGCATAGCAGGTAATTAATACTTTTATTGGATGGTAGGTCGTACATACTTTTATTTCATAGTAGGTCATGAGTACATTTCTTGTGTAGTAGGTCGTTTTGTATTATGTGGGTTATTATTGCTTTTATTGCATAGATGATTATTTTTACTTTTTATTGGATGGTAGGTCATGCATACTTTGATTGCATGGTAGGTCATAAGTTCATTTTTGCGTAGTAGGTCATTGTTTTATATTATGTGGGTTATTATTGATTTTATTGCATAGTTAGTTATTAATACTTCTCTTGGATGGTAGGTCATGCATACTTTTATTGGATGGTAGGTCATGCATGCTCCGCCATATAGCTGGAATATTGCTGAGTGCGGCATAAAACTCAACTCACTCACTCACTCACTCACTCACTCACTCATGCATACTTATATTGCATAGTAGGTAATTAATGCATTTAGTACATGGTAGATTGTTCGTACATTTACTGTTTGGTAGGTAATTCATACATGTATGGTATGGTAGGTCATAAACCCATTTTGTTGGAAGCTGTGGTGGCTGAGTGTGTTAGACAGCTGACTGTGTGCTGGCCTCTCTGAGAGTGTGGGTTTGAATCCCAGATGGGACACAACCAAACATAAGTCACTTTTAACTAATTCTACTTCTTCAGCCATGATTACAGATGACTTGTTCATGTTGTGTAAAACTCACAGACAAACAAGCTGGTGGTTCATCTATAACATCATCCAGTTGTTTACAGCGTGTCTAGCAATATATCACCTGAAGAGTCGATATACAATGTCTGGATATATGTTACTCTATCTACCACAGCTGGGACACGTCGATATTGCCTGTCACAGAATATCTTATTGTACTTAATTACAAGGGCTTTTGGTTTTAAGTTTTGGGTTTGTTTTGTTTTGTTGCATGGAAGATGGTGTATTGAAAACCACTATAGATACACAACATCCTTCGTTTCATGCCCAGATTAAAGAATGGGCTTGACATTTCATGTTTTTGATGGATCAGTTGTTTTTGATGATATTTCCAAAGAAAATATTTAAGGGTTAGTTATGAACCTTTTCAGGTGTGGAAGAATGGCTTTTCTGGGATTAGATTCTAAGTTCTTGTCAAAGGTTTTTGTTCCAAGATCGTGTCAGATCTGAAAAAGAGGTCTTTTTAGGTAACATATGTTATATTTGGGATTACACTTTCTCAGTAAAGTACAGATTCTAGTACTTTTTCCGGGATTCGAACCCACACCCTACGAGTCAGGCACCTAATCACCAGGACACAAAGTCAGACGCCTAGACCGCTCAGAGGCATTGTATATTTCATAGCTTTCGGCCGTAGGAGCCGTACCAATTAACGCTTATCAGAGGGGTACACAAAGTCCGCAGTCTAGACTACCAGTTGTCCGACTTCCATTTTTGTGGAAGCCGTGGTGGCTGAGCGGTCTAGGTGTCTGACTTTGTGTGCTGGTGATTAGGTGCCTGACTCTGAGGGTGTGGGTTCGAATCCCGGATGGGACTCAACCCCCAAAAAGTGCTAGAATCTGTACTTTACTGAGAAAGTGTAATCGCAAATATAACATGTTACATTTGACTACTTTCTAAAATGGCATTGTGTATTTCAGGTCTTTTAGGATTTATATTGTGACCTTTTGTGAAATGTGGGCCTTTTTGGGTATGTCCTGAACTCAGATTTAGAAAAGATCAAGGTGGTGCCAGTGTGTCTGGTCTTCACAAATAATCCCAGTGTCAGGGGTTTTCCACGATGTAAGACAAAAACATATTTTTTATCTTAATATCATTTAAAGTTTTTATTTTACTAACCTTGAGTGATAAAGGATATATTAATCTATTTCACGTAAAAATGTCAATTGTTCCCTACAAAAATAGAGTTGATGACATCGGCAAAACTGTTGCCACTTTCCAATTCCGGGGATTTTGTATGGGTTTTCGACGATGAGCCATACTTTTTGCTCAGCACTGCTAGGGAGTGTTGTGATCACGTGGCTTGCTATTTATATATTGCCTGTCACTAGCAGACGACTGATCTTACTGAAATTTCGCTTGCTATTTTTTGTTATAAAGGCAACTGATTTTACATCTGAAGTGGTAATAACAATCTCGGGTAAATAATATTGATGTTTGTTTGCTTCTAATCTAACTTAACTTCCGGATTTCCATTGTCAATAAACTTCTCACGACAGTGACTGGGCACCCGCCATACCGATGAACTGCTTGTGCACTCCGATCGCCACATATAACGCGAGCAATGCAATTGTTAAAATCACCAAAACGTCAATTTCAGCTTGCTGTGGGATAAAAAAAAGAAAATCTTCGCAATGTTTGTGTTGTCACAGACAATAACCTGTACCTTCATAACACCACACTTTGCAGGGACATATATCTATATGTCTATATATCTTTGCTCTATATATCAGGCCTTGTTATAGATTTCCATCAATGTCTTGTTATTTCTAAGTTGCCTATGTACAAGATGTCTATCTCTTGAACACAAGCCTCTTATCTGATTCATGTAACATGGACTGACGACCTGCACGCAAGAACCAGATTACCTAATGTACTGTAAATGTCGTAGTGTGTCCAATAAACTGTTTCGTCGTCTGGTGGAGCTTATCAGGTGAAATTAAGCTGACAGTCGTTTGATGGGTTGCCGTGTTAGGGAGTTTCTTCCTGCTTGATGGGCGGTGGGGTAAAGCGTTCGCTCGTCACGCCGAAGACCCAGGTTCAATTCCCCACATGGTTACGATGTTTCAAGCCCATTTCTGGTGTCCTGCACTGTGATGTTGCTGGAATATTGCTAAAAGCGGCATAAAACCATACTCACTCACACACTCACTCACTCTCTTCCTGCTGGAGCACGTTCACAGATTTTGACGTTGCATCAACATGATGTCTTATTTGAATCTATATCTATCGTACAGATATTAAACAAAGTATAGCCATTGTGTGCAGGGGTGGGCTCGTCCTCTAAGGTTGTGTCCCTTGGAAGTCTGTAATTTTGGATTGTGATAAACATCTGAGAGACCATTAGAAAAGACTGGAAATCTCTCTCTCTCTCTCTCTCTCTCTCTCTCTCTCTCTCTCTCTCTCTCTCTCTCTCTCTCTCTCTCATGAACTAAATTCATGTTTATTCAGGGCTGTTCGGTTATGAACTAAATTCATGTTTATTCAGGGCTGTTCGGTGCAGAACGACACAGGTAATTTTACGTCACTGGGCTCATATTATGCATGGTCATTGTTGAGAGGATCTATATCAGAAGATCAGGGTACCCTGCCAGTATGTGCTTCTAATGTGGGCACAAAATCTACCTTGACAGTGGTGGGGGTCAGTGACCTTGAGAATTGCACACCATGTACAGGTTGGGTAATCAGTCCATGCGACAATCTACAGCTGAACAGAAGACTTAGATGTACATGATAATAAGGCAAAGCCAAATGTCATGTTAGTTTCACACTCTATTCTGACTGTCTCAAAATACGGTCTTACCCTGACAAGCGCAAATATCTAACTGACGCTATCGGGCAGTCACGTGTCCCCTCGTTGACAGTTTCCCCACGAGAAGCACGTGGTTTCCGAGAAGCAAGGTGTGTTTTTAACACGTCACACCCTGAAACTCATCTGGTGCGTTTTGGCGCGCAAAACCTCCTGCACAGTGCATTTGGAAATACTCTGCAGTTCTCCCAACAGTGGTACCAGTGGGATGAGATGGCACAGACACTGTTACCACACAACATTGGTTCAGGGGAACTCAATGATCCATCGAGCAGGATTGAGCTCTCGGGCGTGGAACCTGTGAAGATCCGGGTTAGAATTGGTGTTCCACAACCCATGATTGTCGTAAAAGGCGACTAACGGGATCGGGTGGCCAGACTCACTGACTTGGTTGACACATGTCATTGTATCCCACTTGCGTAGATCGTTGCTCATGCTGTTGAGCACTGGATTGTCTGGTCCAGACCGTCACCATATAGCTGGAATATTGCAATGTTGGGCATGGATTTGGTGTATTTGTTATTATTATCAATCAAAACAAAACTTTCGGGGTGATGTGTATCTGGTGAGGTGAGGTGAAATTGGGTTTAACCTTGTGCTTGAGAATATTTCGCTCATATGACGACGTGCATGCGTGTGTATGTGTATGTGTGGCTGCTTGTACTAGCCCAGACTGAAGCTTGTTTTATAGTGCTAGCCCACTGAAACACCATGCCGCAGTGAAGCATGAATACCCCACTCAGACACATTATACTGACTCCCGAGGCCAACCAGTCCTTGTTGTACCCATTAATGCCGAACGCCAGGCAGGGACAAACAAGTACCA